CCAGAAAATGATATAAGGGGTCAAAATAGGTCGAAAATCACTTCAGATTCGGAATCGGGATGCCTGATTCATCAACTATTCATATTTTCCTTGGAAATCATTCAGTTCTGAAAAATTTAATTTTGTCACACTTTTTTCGGAAGCTTCCTTGTATCTTACATCATTGACTTCATCTTTGAACCTTGCCTTCCTCCTTCAAATCTCAGAACCCTACCTCAATAATTACGTGAGATACGGGGGTGCTTCCATGAGAAGTGAGACAAAATTTTAATTTTCCTGAACTGAATTTTTTTTAGGAAAACCATGATTAGTTGCGGTGAATTGGGCGTAATGATTTCGAATCCGAAGTGATTTTCAACCTTTTCGACTCCTAATAATAATTTTCCGGAAGCTTTGGTGGTTTCGTGGCTGTTGGCGAGCAGTGTATATCACTGAATATGATCGTGCATTGTTGGTATATCTCTCGTTCCAGCAAATTTCAGGATCCTTACCCAACGATTACGTGAGATACAGGGGTGTTTTCATTAGAAGTGGGTCACACTGTATATAAACTCACCTTGACTTCCTCTATTTGCCGTCAGGCTATGGCTGGTTAGTCATGACTCACCCTGTATAATGATTGTAACCAAATTGTTATGACATCAGCTCAATGATACAAAGTGGGCCTCAAATATAAGGTTCGTTTTGCATTTATGTATAGTACTGATGAGAATGGCGGAGTGGAAAAGCGCCTGACTCATCAACGCGAAGTCGAATTCGAATTGAAAATTGTTAAGATTTGGAGGTTCAACTGATTCACTGTAGCATTCCAATTAACTCAAATCAATTCAAAGTACGCTGCATTGTCGAAGAAGAAGAAATCTTATCGACAAAGCAACATGAGAAAAATACAGTTATAAAATCGAAATCAAATAAAAAATGTATAAATTATGTTGAAGTTGAATCGTTCATGGTACACGTCATTATAAAAATGAATATACAAAAAAACATATATTGGATATAAACAAACACAAAATATATAAAACCCAAAAGCCTAGATGAAAAACTCTCATACACAGAAAAAAACTCACTTCAGAACAAACATAACAATTATTATATCATTCAGATATTCATTATTCCAAATATTTTGGGATTTTCTCTCATAGTTTCTTCATAATGAAAATATGAATTTTATTCCAATATACGTGTAGTAAGGACAAATCAGATGATTTGCCCCAAAATGTCACTGCGTTTGAAGAATTTTCCTATCAGAGAGCCTAAAAGAAATTTTCACTAGCTTATCAGTGAGAATTTGTATTGAAAAAAGTTTGCAGAAGAGAAATGGAGGTATATAGAAAAAATATCATCGATCCTTTTTCAGGAAAAATTGAGAATTATATTAGAAATACTCCTCATTTTTTTGATGTAGTAATTTGATTCACAAATGTTCCAATAGGTAAAACTTCACAAATACTGAAAGTAAAATTATAAAACGATGGAAGTCTCATTGGAAGAACTAATCTAAGTATCGAAAGTATAATGTAATTTTTGGAATTGTGTCTAAAAACAACATATTTTCAATTGGATGATGAGTTTTATCAACAAAACTTTGGAATGGCCATGAGATCGCCATTATCACTAATTTTAGGCAATATACAAAAAATTACCAGAAACATGGTGGTGATACGTAGATAATATTTCCATAATTTGGCCACATAACGTTGAGGAGCTAGATAATTTTCTAGGTTATGTGAACAATGCCGAAACTACCATAAAGTTCACTTCGGGAATTGAATCTAATAATCAGTAACTGTTTCTAGATGTTCTTATTGAAAAATCAAATAACATCTTTGTAACAGGTGTATATCGAAAAAAGACCCATAATAACAGATACTTGAACTTTCAATCAAATCATCAGAAATGTATCAAGAAAGGAATAATCAAATCACTCAAACACACAAATTTCCAATAACGAAGTCCACCACATTGAAAATGTTCTTCAACCCAATTCCTATCCAAAGAATTTTGTCGATAGCACGATTCATCAAATTGAAAACAAACCACAACAGAATCAATCCTCAATAATGACAAATATAATACCATACATTCCCGGCATATCTGAAGAAATGAAACGTGTTGGTAATAAATCTCAAGTGAAAACTTCGTTCGGAACTGAAGATACAATGAGATAAATTCTAACTCAAACAAAGCCGAAAGATGGAGAACAATCGTCAAAAAGTTGTATTTAAAGTAAACCTTGTGTTTGTGGAGAGTTTTATACAGGTGAAACCAAGAGACCCCTTTCAGTAAGGACGAAGGAACATGAGTACAATATGAAGAAAAGACACATCGATAAATCGAAACTAGCTGAACATATCCTTACTGAAGACGGACAACATATTGCAGAGTGGAATGATATTAAAATCATTGGGAAAGAAGATAACAACCAAAAGAGAAAAATCAAGGAATCTGCTTGCATTCTTCTGAACGGAGCCATTAGCATTGCTTCTTGTTCAGTTGATATAGACAGAACATGGTATTCACTATTTGAATCTGAACATGAAAATGATAAATTCAAGCTTAATCAATGGAAACATCCTGTAACTCATTTGAAAAGCTTCAAGACATATACGACTTCGCTATTGAAATAATCTTTTCTTATGTTGAAAACGGGAGCAGAATCGGTCCCGAAACGTCCAAAGATAAGTGAAAATTTGATATTTTCTCTATATACCTTTATTTCTCTTCTCCAAACTTTTTTCGATACAAATTGTCACTGACAAGCTAGTGAATTTTTTTTCTAAGCTCTCTGATAGGAAAATTCTTCAAACGCAGTGACATTTTGGGGCAAATCATCTGATTTGTCCTTACTACACGTATATTGAAATAATATTCATATTCTTATTCAATAGAAACTACTATCAGATAATGTTGTGATATGTTGATTTTAAGTTCTTCAGATATATCTCAACAGAGTTGTTATGTTATTTCTTCAACGTTTTTGTTTCACCACCTTATAACGTATCTCACATTAATAAACGAGGGTTTTTTCTTCTACGGCAGAGTTACATTGTCAACTACTGTCAAAGGTCAATTCAATTTCATTCCACTCATTCCAGCCATTTTGTTTGTTGTCCATCATGGTGTTAACAAGTCAATCAGTTTGATCAGGAAAAATATTGATTTTCAGCTATCAAATTGAGTTGAGGACTAAACAAGTCATGAACTGGAACCAGTTCGAATGAGAATATGAATTGCTCAGGATATCTACTTGGATTCCAGGTTTGCTCTGCTGGAATATATGAATACAACCAATCTGGCTCTGAAGTTATAATTTTCGAATCGTTTTTGCTTCATAACTTTGAAATGACTATCGAAATTCAACTCAAATTCAGTACGCAGGCATAGCTTCATTAAGCATTCGAACTCATATCGTGATTATATAATGGATATTATTCCATGGGCGTGAAACTTGATTTTTTCAGTACACAAACATCTGAAACTACTACGCCAATGCAGAGGAACGGGTTTGAAAATGAAATTTGGATTGCGTTACTTGTTCACTACAGAAAATGTACTTCTGATGGAATTTGATAACTCTTATGGTTCCAACAAAATTGAAATTCCAGTAATTCAAAGCATCAGTCTAATGACTCAGTACAGAAAAAAAACAACATGAAAAATAGCTGATAGCAATTTCCAATTTTTTTCATCGAATACGTACGTATTCATTTCGTTTGTATACGTGGAAATAATAAACATTCTGAACCATTTCTATGAATCATCTGTCAATCGTTCTGGTGCGTTGACCGATGTTTCAAATTATACTTATATTCAGATTGTGTCTTAATCATAAGAGATTGCTTTAAGCCTCTCGAAACGACGGTACAGGCCATCCAACGGATGTCCATTTCACGTAGGTTCATGGAAGGATTGGAGGTCCATGGACAAGAAATGTACTACTTTCAATGGATAAACCAAATCGCCACTGATACTATTCCAATGGATATTCAAAAAAGTTCTGGATAGTCATGGACTTGAATTGTACATCTACTGGATGAACCCAAATGTTCATCCAATGGATAACTATTGACAAACCTTTTCAATGGATATATGTAAGGTATGTAGTGGACTGAAAGAATGCATATGCTATCGCCATCTTTGTTTCCTGTGTTCTCTATTGTCTGATTGTCTGTTCGTCTGCATTCTGTCGCTTTTGTCTTTCGTGTTCGCTGTTATTGTATGCAGAAATTTGTATCGTTAAAGGCAGATTCATGCAGCAATAACCATATAGTTGAATTTTCATTATGTTGCTTCATTTTAACGTAGGAATACCCGTTCATGTAACTATAGTTCAACGTAGTGAACTTACTCGAGGTGAATTTGAGGTATATATGTGTAATGATTACTTTTTCGATTTGTTCACGTAATATTGAAATATTGTCAAGAAGTACAAATGCCTATGAATTCATTCATCAGCAATAAATTGTGCAATGCACGTCAAGTTACTCAGTGATGATCACCTTCAACAAAACCATGCTGATTATCAATAATCTGACATTTCACATGTGCATATATGCAATATCATATAAGACCATTTCAAATAGTGCACTGAAGTTACATAGTTCAACAATTGGTCTATATTTCTCAATCAAATATTTGTCACCTTTTTTGAAGATAGGACATATTTTACCATCTTTCCAAACGTCGGGAAAGCATATTGTTGTCAGTGCTCAATTAAAACTGACTGAAAAGACTTTGCAAAGATGATAGCGCAGTCATTCAGGAGGAAAAATGGAATACCATTAGGACCTCTGGTCACTTTTGATTTGCATTTTTTCAGCGACTTCAATACGTTATGCGTGGAATTAGCCAAGGAAGTAGCTTTACTCGTCATCTATCATTGTTGTTGTTTATTTTATTGATGACCTGTGGAAATGACTACGAGTTTTTGCTTCATTATAAATTGGTAGTTATTTTTATCGCAAAAGTTGCCTATAATGAATAGTATGCCGAACATTCTGAAAGCATTCAAACAGCAGAATAATATATGTGACATTTCACGCAAAAATGAGAATAACAATAATTGTACCATTACAATTACTTCTATTATTTTCAATAAGTGTCATCAGAGGATACGTGTTTCGTGAGTACTTTTGGCATATTTTTTCAAAAATCTGACGACATATAATATAATGAATCAATTATAATTATGTGTACCTGACCTCTTCACTCAATACGGTGCCAAATATTGGCAATCGAAATTAACTAAGTGTTGATAGGGTATTGATGTTTCCATGAAATATCGTTTTTATTAATTAGATACTGAAACGTCGTTTTGTCAATTCCAATGCAACTTGGTGGTAACAATAACATGGAGCATCTTTTTGTGTGATCTAGTTCAGAATTCCAGTGGCGTTGAATTGGGTGACCTTATCGATATTTATAGTGAATATCATGTATATACGCCACTATTTTCATTCAATTCCACAACATTTCAATCGAATTGAATAATTTGAAAAATAACTATTTTGTCTCTTTGGTAACTCTTGTTTTTAGCTTAAATTTTGTGGAATGAATTGAAACTAGATTTCACTCATAATTCATATGTACCTATAAATGCCCTCAAGACACCAGTTAAAATTATCTAATAAATTCAATGAAATTGTGAAAATTTGATGTACTCTGAAATTAAGGAATTCAGGACACATGATGAGGTCATGTTTTTTTCGTGACAGGAATGAAGTTTGACATTCCATCTCTGTTGACAGGTTTTAAATGTCATATTCCATCAATTACTTTTTTCCGGTTATGAATGACACAGAAGACATGTAACAGCCTCAAGTTTTTTCATTTGAAATGATAAAAATTTGAAATCCACAAAGGGTATGAAATCGATGATGACGCTTCCCTTGGACCCAATGAAAATTTTCTTCAACCACCTGTTTGATCGGAAGTTAACCCAACTTTTTTCCTCAAATGGCACCTTGTATATTCCTGTAGCCTATCTTATTCGTCTCGAAATTTTCTATTCAAATATGTATCACAATCTGATATTCGTCCATTTATTGGCTGTCAAATTGCATTCTATTGAAATATTTACATAAACTTGTCTGTTGCCCGAATACAATGAAAATTCGATGCTTGATTGGCTCAGAAATTCAAGGATCATTACTTAAATGATATTATTCAGAATCCATATTCACCGAATTAAAATAATAGATATTTGATTTCCTCAAAAGAATGATGAAGATGCCTGCAACGAAGGTGTAATTTCTGTTAATAACTTTAAATTTCACCTCGTTAATTTTCTGATTTCAATATAATGTTTCATATTCTCAATATTGATTCGTCCTGTTTCCTGTCACAGAAGAATATAATGTATCATACACAGGAAAAAAGTATCAGATAATAGCTCACGGTTTTTTGTATCACTCCACTACGCGACGGAAGACAACACAACCTGGAGCTGAAATCTAATAAATTTTTCCTTTGTATAATAAATGACTGTTCCTCCTAGAATATGATGAAGATTCACCTACTGAATTTCTTCGAACTTGTGATCTCCCTGTACAATGACCCATAATAAAGAAAACTGTTTTCTTGTTGAAATGTTGGTTATAACCGAGATGCAGGTTCTTCAATAAGATCCAATGTTCATTATCAACCTATTTCACAACAAATATTATCGCATGAAGTTTCTTGTTCAACAGATGTTTCAGGCGGAGATTAGGAATTTTTTAGTAAATTGAACCCAGAAGGTATTTTTTTATTTTTCTCTTCTGATTCTTTTTGATAATTACCCAGGTAGCACAGGCTAGTGAAATGACGTCCTAATGACGTTTGTTCTAGGTCATTATTGGTCTATGACGTTCTCGACTGTGAAGAGACCTAAAAATGACGTCATGTTCCATGACGACATATTGACGTATATTACTGAATGTCATGAAGACGTCTCAACGAAGTTTACTTTTTGTCCTTCTTGAACTTAACTTATTCAGCTCTTTCAATATTAATTAAAGAATTAATATGGAAATCTAATATACAGGGTGAGTCAAAACTGTGTTTTCCTTCGATATTAGCCAAGCCAAGGGAAAAATTCGAACGCAACAGTTATAGTTTCCTGGAAACTACCTCGTAAAATTATATTTATATTCATAGAGTGTTCGAATTCCAAGATATCGGCTGAAAATGAGTCTTTTTTAATTGGGAATCCTGTATATTATTGCATTTTCATATTCTCCTCGAAGAGCTAATTCAATCAATACATCAGACTTGGAGTCTTGCGGGAATGATAACAGAGATATAGGGTGTATAATACAATCGATATTTTTCAAATTTAGGATTGTTTTGCGTTGAAACTATTCATTATTGGTCGAAACGGCTAACATGTCCCTATCTTAACATTCGATTCCCCATCTACTGATCTCGTTTTGATAAAATCGGCTCCCCCTGAAAGAACCGTGAATTGCAATAATATACAGGGTATCATATTCAGGCAACTCTTCATCAGCCGATATCTTGAAATTCGAACACCCTATAGATATGAAAACAATTTTCTCTACAACGTGAAGCTTTATTCGCCAACTTTCGGTACGTTGCCATCGAGCTTCTTTTATTCCGCTTACATCTCGCCAACGCTCGCTACACAATCTAAGATTCAAATATAAATAGCTAATTGATAATCACATAGAGATGCGAACTAATAATAACGCCAGGATCAAAGATCGAACACCCGGAGAGACCAACTCATCAATGAATCTCATCAAAGGTTACTGGTGTATGATCATGTTTTCCTCATACCGTATAATATGCCTTTATATACCCTGGAATTTTTTGACGTAAAATGGTCAGTTTTGTGACCAAATTAGAGCGTCCTTTGGACGTCACTGTGCTACCTGGTATGTATGTACTAGTGAGTGATCTTGTTTATAATTAGCATCAAGACAGAATAGTATATTGTGCAACAAGTGAGAAAAGTTCAACTTTCCCCACGAGTGCGAAAGTTTGTGGCACGAGCCTGAAGGGCGGGTGATGCAAACGCAGGAGTGAGAAAAGTGCTTTTCCCCACATGTTGCACACTATACTCTTTCTACAACTGCACTTATTCAAAGGATCCGAGTAATGTAACTTATTGGTATTCATTTCATAATGTGGCACTATGCCACATTGAATATTGTGACCAAAGAGTAGACGCCTTTCCGAAAAAGATTTTATTTCTGTATTTCTTCAGATTCCATAAATTTTTCGTACCAATATGCCAATTCATACCTTTTTCTTGAAATCTCCGTAAACAAATCCAACTTTCGCAGCTTTTTCCATTATCTCTGTCTCTGGCGGTGTATTTATCAAAATCGTCACATCTCGGTATATACATCATATTATTTATTATGAATTGTTGGAACAATATTCGATGGAAAATGCGATTTCTATCAAAAGCACTAATGAGAACTACCCTGAAGAATTTAAAAAACTTCTTCTGACAGTTGTGACAACTATTCAAAGCTGAACAGCAGCCAAGTTCTGGTCGATTTCTGTTGATTCTCCATGGAAATGTCTGTAGTGTTGGCAAAGTGCTGTGAGAAAAAAAAATTCCCACAGTATGGGCAATACATGGTTTTGAAACTAATGAAGCTATGAGAAATGCGCTACTTTTCATAGCAGTAGTAGAAAAAAGTATTTTCAACTTCCTAACAATCGAATTTATACCTTGTCCTTGTTTGAAGGGACGTAATAATCTATCACACTCTTATCACGAAAGTGCAAGATTTCAAACTAAGTGATACTCATTTCTATTATTTCAGCTGACGATTTCAAAATATGTAAATCTATTGACCCAAATTTGGACGGATGCCTTGCAGAATCCATTCAAGATGCTTTGTTCAAATTGGCAAATCCAGGTAGGATAACACAAGATATGATAGCTACAAACATAAATCATTGTTGAATGAAATACAAAGCTCAGAGTGATTTCTACAAATTCTCATAATATCAACAACAATGATACATGACAAAAAAATAACAACTTTCTCTTCTAATGCCACGGAAAACAATGAATAACATCCTTCCGAAATATATTCATCTTATTGAATAAACGAATACTTATGCCTCAATTCTCAGCCAGCTAGCATCCTGAGACCGCCAGTAAAGCGTTACCTGGCATAATTGAAATCGGAACGCCATGTTGGCGTCTCTCGTAGCCAACACAAGGTTTGTATGATTGATAGAGAGGAAGACTCGATCAGAAAACGCGGTGAAATGAACTAGTAATCCGTGACGTGATATCATCCAGAATTTCATGTTGGTTCACATCGAAATATATGTATTAGTCTAGATCACAGCTGGATAGGTGAATATACCTCAAGATAGTTGGAGGATATAGATTCCTATTACTTCGAAACTGAATTTTCGATGAGTTTACCTTACCTCTTGTTGCTAATCGAGGAAATCTTCCTCTACAAATAATCATCAATTCTACCAACCCTCAAATGACATGATGTTAACCCCATCTCCGTAACTTAAATTCTCATGGTAGTGAGAAATTGGACTAGCATACCCGACTAGCGTAATTGAGGTGCTCAATGTGTCCTCAATATTTTCTGATTCGCAGGTGATCTATACCCACTAAAAATATCTATACAGCATTATGTCTGGTGATGACTAGACTTCCGTCCACTTCCCCCTGTATTTATTCATTTTTTTGTGAAATCAAATGAAGACAAATCATGGATTATAGATATTCTTGTATAAGTTAGTATACTTATCGAAGATCTATCACCTACTTTACACAAGGTGTTCCACGGCGATTGAAACATGGAATGACTCGGAAGTCGAGAGGATAAGAATATTGTAATTTTGGGGTTGTGAATTTATGCAACTGGTGCAGCTTTTTTCTGATATTTTTCCACCAAATGAGCTTTCTAGATTCTCAATAGAACAACCGGTATATTTTGGCAATTTGAGAAATTTTCATAAAAACAATCTGTATATTTTGGCAATTTCACGTTTCTCCCAATGGAACGATTCCTATAAATCATCACATTTATGGTCTGAGACTATCAATTTAAGAACTACAGGTACTTCAATATCATTTGTCCAAAAGTTTTTCGAAAACGTTTTTAAACACATATGGATCAAGAATCAATCATCACAAAAAATAAAGGACTGCCTCAACATGAAGGGTGAACCTGAACTCAAATGATTTGGCAAATGTTCGTTTCAGAAATTCGTCGTAATCGTCGTGAGAGAAAGGATATTTTGTACCTGTAGTTCTTGAATCAATAATTTCAGACCACAAGGCTAATTGTTTGTTGGAATCGTTTCATCGAAAGAAACATGAAAATGCCAAAATATACAGGTTGTCTCACCTCAAATTTTGAAACTAATATCACGTGGCCGAAAACAAGAAGCTCATTAGGTGAGAAATATCAGAAAAAGCTGTACCCATTGCTCGAATTCACAACTCCAAAATCACGATATCCTAGTGATCTTGAGGTCCGTAGTATTCCATGTCTCAATCGTCGTGAGACACCCTATATTTCATAACAGTTTTATTTCAGGAATACACTCGCCAATCAATTTGACGATCAGCAAAGTGACTTTTCCCTATTTCCTCTTCACTCCTGATGATTCAGAACAGAATACTACCATCGAATGTTTTAACTTGACATACCCAGATCTGTGGCAAGCTCGGGTGAAAAATGTGAGGTGAGCTGATCTCTGTAATGCACAATATTTTCAAACGACGAATTCAATAAAACTCATGGTCTGTTGACAGACACAAAATCCAGAGCAGAATAGAAATAATCAGAGATAAAACATGTCTACCACTTTTTCTGATTCATTGTTTCACCGCACTAACCAAACCAATTTTTTGAAGCCTCCATCAAGGACCGATTACAATGGCATAATTTAATTTTTTTCCTTCATTATCCTGATCAGGGTCTTTCAGATGAGCGATTGATTTTTCCTCGGGTGTTAATACACAGGAGATAAATACATAGTTTTTGCAACACTTCTCACACTTTTTTTATGTTAAAAATGAGTGTATGCGTTGTTCGAAATTGTTGAATTTCAGAGCTCATTTCAAACGTACCGTCATGGCCACCATTTGCCGATACGTCGGATAAATGGTGACGTCAGATTTCATGATGTTTCGTTGTTGGTCAGATAATCTGCCATCTCCACTCACGAAGCAAGGTTGTCAAGTCAAGATGTGAGAGTCCTGTCGTTGTTTTGAATATAATATGAGGAACCCATGATATTATAGTTCATTCTTGACTGCAACCAGCATTTCCAAATATTGAAGACTGGGCCAAATTGTGCTGAATGCTGAGAAGGTACAATACCACGGCCACAAATCGTGCGCGCTGTGTTGTCACGTTCACCGCTTCAAATTTACTCTAGTGTGGATTGATATAAATAATACTATTCACACAAATCTATTATAAGCATTGATTTTGTATCTGCTAAATAGTGATATTATCAATACGTCATTGAGAATTCATGAATGTTTGAATAGCTGATATTTCTAGAGTATCCAATCGTATTTCAACACATGGCAACTTTGTTATGGTCTGCCCCTACCTACGAAATCGTAACGTCATTTTTTATCCGCGGTAAATTTCTATACGTTCGAAAATCACTGAGGTATTATTGATGATTCTAGCACCTGAAAATCAACCGAAAAATGTACAGAATTGTTGATATCTGGATAGGTTGAATTCATAGAGCTGACATTCGACATTTCTTGTGAATTCGGTTCAATTGTTCTGTGAAACTAGAAAGAGTTGCATTTGTCATTCCCATGTCTTGGGATTTCGGAAAAAATACGAAAAAAAATCTTGTAGGTTTTACAATTGACTGCATTGTGACCTATAGGCTTTCACAATGCATTTCAGAGGATCAGAATAATGCACTGACTCCTGAGAAAGTATGAATAGTTAGAGAGATGAACTCTGTATATATAGTTCGATATAGATCATCCTCGATCAAAGAGACTCGATTTTTGGGGATTTTCTCTCCTCGTTTCCATAAAATGAAAATATGCGTTTTATTTATAGTGGGACAAATCAGATAATTTGCCACAAAATGTCACTTCGTTGAACACATTTTCTTATCAGGGAGACTAAAAGAAATATCTAGTAGCTTCATACTCATCTTTGGACGTTTCGAGATCGAATCTGCTCCCGTTCCGAACATGAAAATTCGAAATATTTCGCTTTGGGAGTTGTCCTCTTGATAGTTTGACACTTTTCAGTGTCATGCTGATGTTGGCAAATGAATGAGTGATTTTAGTTCACAAATGAGTTACAGGATGTTTTCATCAATTGATCCCAAATTTACCGTCTTCATGTTCAGTTTTCAGTTCAGAATACGCATGTCCTATCTATATCAACTGAAGCAATGCTATTGTTTCCGTTCAGAAGAATGCAAGCGGATTCCTTGATTTTTCTCTTTTGGTTGTTTTCTTCCTTTTCTATGATTTCGATATTATTCCACTTATGTTTTTCCATCTCCAGTAAGGATATGTTCAGTAAGCTTCAATGTACTTGTGTTCTCTAGTCCTTACTGAGAGAGGACTCTTCGTTTCACCTGTATAATACTTTCCACAAACACAAGGTATACTATTAATACAATTTTTTGATGATTGTTCTCCATTTTCTGGAGTTAGAATGGATCTCATTGCATTTTCAGTTTTGTACACAGTTTGCACATGGAACTTATCACCAACAAGCTTTATTTTTTCAGATATGCCGGGAATGAACGGTATTAGATTCGTCGTTATTGATGGTTGTCTTTGTTGTGGTGTATTCTGTTTGTTTACAATTCGGTGAATCATTCTATCAATAACGACGAATATAATACCGTACAAATAAATATATTGGAATAATACGCATTTTTTTATTTCATAGAAACGAGGACAGAAAATCACATTGAATCGAGTGAAATTAATGTACCACCCCCTCGATTAACCTACATACAGTATTCCTGTATATATAGTTCGAAATTACTAGTTCCTCATCCATCAGAAAGACTATTCGCCATACTGAATACTCAGTTAGTTGCAGAAGAAACAGTGAATGTTATAAAAAGGTTCAAGGGCACAAGAATCTTCGAATGAAATATCGATGAGATATAATTTTTCAGTGTAGACCTATGCAATCCAGCACTCGACTTCACGACGAACAGTGCGGAAATAACTGCTTTTATACAACGATTCAAAATGTTAGGAAAAATTAACCAGCAAGGAAAACCAGAGCCCAAGCAAGGAGACGGTGCTGCCATTATAAGATATTGTGAGTATCTGCTCAGAGGATAAAACTAATTCAATACTGGGTGTTTCAGAGTTGTGGAGCCAAAAGCCTAAGAGGCATTTCCCTCAGCAAAGTTATGGGGAGATATTCATATGAATATGGGTCCGGACACGCGTCATTTCTGAATTAGAGAGCATTGAGGTTCTCAGAAAAAAATCAGTACTTTATTAATTCCTTGAAAATGTTTCAGCCGATTTCGATATATTTCATGATATTCCTTCACACAATCATCAAACATCTACTGAGCAAATAAGATTCGATTTAAAATCATTTCCAGGAACATGACTAGCAAGCAAGTTACCAATTTTTTGCAGAAAAAAATATCACTCTATGTTTCTCGCGATTTTCAGTGATTTACCAGATCAACTCATCGCAACTACACATATGAATGGACACCCTCGATTCACGAAAATATTCTCTATGTCCTAATTATCCCTTCAACCGCATTCTCCTTGACTCTTCTTGGCCGAAACGCTTACAGCTGAATCAATTTACTGGGATCGCAATGAACATTACTCATATCATGAATAAATATATATGATGTTGAATTTACCTGCTGGGACAGCAAATAACATGACAGTTATTTCAAAGGAATGTTAATGAAAACTACTTTCCTGCAATAGTAAGATATCTCTTCATCCTAGAAGAGAACATTTTCAGAGTAGCAAATTCATATAGAGAACCTACCAGTAGAATGGTTTCAGTGGAATTTATTTATCAAAACCACTTCACTACGTTCGTAACCATTTTCGCCACAACAGGTAGAAATAATTGAGCAAACAAGTTTCCTGTAGGACTTTCCCCAGTGTATATAAAGTCTGGGGTAGAGTATGTCCTTCAACTGAACCAATTATGTTCTCCATCCGAATAATTCGACCTCTCTGGTTCAGACCAATATATTCACTGTTACACCAAGTAGCTTCGTTTCTCAGTCAGGAATGATTGTATTATTTTCAAGGAGGAAATCAATATTGTCAGAGTAGATAAATTGAAATTTCATTCATCCATTCCACTCTGGATTCATCGAGAGAACAACCTCCAAACATAACGTCAACTGACAGTCATATGCCCAAAATCACCTTTTGCCAACGTACTATAAGGAAGATCTTATTGGGTCTCAGCACCAACAAAGCTTGTGGCTCCGACGAAATCCCACCGATCGTTCTCAAGGAATGTGCTCCCAAACTAACACATGTTCTCTGCAAGTTGTCGAACTACTCTAACAAATTGGGGATATTTCTGTCCTACTGGAGAATTGCAATAGTACAACCAGTTCCTAAATAAGGCAAAAAGACCCTGCCTAGCAATTACAGACCGATCGCATTGCTATCTATTATTCCAAAGATCATGGATAAAGCAATCAACATCGAGCTCATGAAACACCTGAAACATTCAGGTATTATCAACGATAGACAATATGGCTTTCGTCGTCAGATATCACCTGGTGACCTGCTCACTTACGTCTCACATATATAGCAGCAATCTATTGGAAAATATAGTGAAACCTCAGCTGTGGCACATATCTCCAAGGCATTCGATCGAGTCTGGCACCACGGACTCTTCGCCAAGCTTCCATCTTATGGCTTGCCTACCCAGCTATGTTCTCTGCTAGCTAGTATCCTCTCAAACAGGTCTCTCCATGTACTACTTTTCAATATTCCATCAAAAATACCTTTGAAATCTCAACCCCTTCTAACTTGGATATTAAGAGTTATGGACCCATATTTATATGAGCTCTTTTCCATATTTCGTTGCTAATAGTCTTGATACAACAGAGAAAATTGATCTTATTTCTCTCAGTTTTGAAATATTCCAGTTATTGAAAAATTCAATCAATATTATTCGACAAACTTGTTCGTAAATTTCAAATACAATGTTGTCAGAATATATATTGTTTTCTCAACATATTCACTTTCTGAAGAACTGACAATTTTTTTCACTTGAACGGAATTACTTGGTCATTTGAATCAACAGAATGTGTTCATCAGAGCAGATATCGTATTATAGGAACAAAAGGTTTCATGATAATTCTACCAAATCTTGCCGTTGATTTGAATCAATAATTCATTTCATTAAATCAATTCCAAGTTGACAATTGCCAGGAAAAATGTTGCAGTTACGAAATATTTCGTCGTGGCGGATGTATTATGACACTCAGATTTTGTTGAATTCATTGAATTTTTGTTGATTCGAACAATTTTGTTTATGTCCTTCTTGATTCCGATAGAATATTTGTTTGTTTCAAAATGGCTCCTGAATTGAGTAGATCAAAAATTTGCAATAGGAAGGTACTCGAATATTGAGCCTATGTGAATCGATGGTCTATAGCCGATATAAATGTTCTTCCTGGTATTCTTCCACCTACACTATCATATTTTCCAGATAATGTGACTATGAAGCACTCGCTCAAATTCAAGCTCACAGAAAAGGACAACGAAAAATATCTGGACGTTACGTCCTACAACGTCAAAATATCAATTTCCAGATCAACAATTTTCTTCGGTGACGTTGTGGAAGACAACGTTGCACTAGAAGAAGATGCTCTGGCCAAGATGGACCACCAGGATGTGACCTTGGAAGGAAATCAAAAGAAGAGATTCCAAACTTTTGGTGCGCTCATGTTCAGGGGGTTCGCAGGACAGCTCATCAACAGTGTCCCTATGGATAGGATAATAACCGACTGGAGCAAAGCATGTGTCAATTCGACTTCTTGAAAGGATATCGAAAGTCCAAAATATATTTCTCGATACTAGCTATATAATCTACCATTATTAATTCCTATTCAAAGAGTAAAGTGTGTTTACCCTACCAAGAGAGTTCACGCCATTTTATGAGCTACACAGTGAAAAAACGCTTCGAGTTAAATTCGGAGAGTTTGTTTTTAGAGGTAAAATACTCTGTCAAACTCGCACTCTGATACTGCAATCAACTCTATAACTACACTCCTCGCAGATTATCTCAATTGAAACTGATTCTAGATTGAATGTTCACTAATGCCGTATTGAATTCACACTATATTCCTGAAATTCTGATAATATAGCAATTCAGATGACTCAATTCACAAACATTTGGAATTAAATTCATACTAGTGTTTACGGACACTAGTGAACTGGAATGTCCCACTCTTGTCGATCAAATCGACACTCTATCGTTTTTCAATTGAATCTAAATACTTACCATCATGATTTATCAATCTAAACAGTTTCAGATCGTTAATTCTAATGGATAGTAAAATAAGTGAAACTGATTGAAGAGTCGATGATATAATGATCATATCAGCTTCATATAGCTTTTTTACTATACCCGCGTAGTGATAGAATTTTTCCAAAATTGAGTCATTAACGTATTTCCGTTATACCAACCAATCTCAGTTATTTTCCGTTTTTACCGTTTCGAATTATTATATCGAACGATTCATGAAACAGATGGGTTAACTAATATTAGTCAAAGTGGTACGCGAGTCATTTTTCAAATATCGAACGATTCATAGTTATTTAACCATCAACTAGTGTATTAATGAGAGCGATTAATGATCGAGATATTTCAACGTGCGAGCGAAGCGAGCGCGTTAATGTTCGAGATTATTAATCGCCTTTCAATATACAAGTTGGTTATAAAATTTTTCCGTCGACTTTATTTCTCATTTCTTCTGCAATGAAGAAAATTTTGTTCGCGAATTCATCATTCATCCGGGAACTGCTGAGAATCACCCACAAGCCTTGTTACTGACAAAAGTGACATCTGTCGAAATGATCGAAATAGAAATTAAATTCGTTGTGTTAGAAAACAGGGATTGAAATCGTGTCAGAAACTTGGAAAGGCGAACCCGTTAACGGAAATCTTCGATGAAATTCATATTTTCGATTCAAATGCAGATTCCGTAAGATGAAGCATAAACAATGAATGCACGCGGTGTATGTTTATTGGTTGCCTATAAAACAATCGTGCATTAATAGACAAATTGATCATTAATAGGGGTCATTTATGAACGATTTCATCTCATCGCCCAGGGAATGTCAAATTTCAAGCAATGACAGCTCTGTCAGAAATCAAAAATGTCACTATTATTTGTTACAGCCGTAGGAGAATTATCGTGTATAACTCTCACGGAATGCTGATTTCCCACTCGAATGGTTGTAGCATTCGCCTACGGCTCATGCTGCAGACTCCATTCTCGTGGAAAATCACGATTCACGATGATTTCGTGGTCGTTTAAACAATAAATTATATTGCTTGTGGTGAAAAACTTATAATATACATGCACCGTGATAGTGAAGATGACTATTCATATATCAAGAAAGCAAAGGTATCAATTTCTCCCCACGGGTTACGGAAGGCATTAAACACACATGGGAGGAAATGAAACTTTGCTCCCAAGATATAACTTAGATTTTATCCACGAACGCATATAATCGAGAGCATCGTTCTTGAAATTGTGCTTCAAGAGCCTATTTCTCAAGTCTGGATCCAAATCAATGTGTTACATCATCAAAGGTTACAGACGAATCTGAACGAAAATAAATTTGACACTGACACTTCTATCACATTGAATTTGTTTATTGTGTAATTGCATTTCATTTAAAGTTTTGATTAGGTAGGTTCGTATTATGAGGAAGTGTAGGAGATCATTGTTATTTATTTTATAGTAGTGATGGAGACACTGCTTAGGTACTTGCGTAGCACAAATCTTATCTCTACCAAGGAAGCCAGCTAACCGATTCATTTTACCTTCCATGGGAGGTGATATCGCCGTTCCAGAATAACAATGACGTAATTGCAACATTTTTTGAAGTTTATAATCATCAGGAGATAGAGAAAAGCTGAATCTATATGGTAAAATAATGCCATAATTTAAGTGTAATATCTGTCCGCTTGATGTAGGTTACGCACGATGTTCTTTGAACATTATAGGGATTCACTTTCGTGCGCTCCAAGCGATAAAAAAAAACAAAATGTAATCTGTATCTATTAACACTATTTCACTGGGAGAAAACTGTCTCAACGGTCAGTTGTGAGAAGTTTTCTATAAAAAGTTTTTCCCAGTACAGAAACGCTATAAATGAATCTTGAGAGTAATAGATGTGATGTTTAATACATTATTTTGGATGAATATCGACTTGAGTGTATTTTGAGTCATTGTTTATTTCTCAATTTGAAAAAAATAATGACATAAGTATCCCATGTGTCACTTTCTACTCTGAAATATTATCTGGTTCTAGTCGTAATTGAAGACCTTGGTGCAAGAACCGGGTAACTCCATTTTATGCCAAAATTGGGTTATTATATTCAACACATAGAATTATTTTCTCTTTTGCATCTTTTGCTGCAAAGAATCAAGCGAATCCAACAATTTCCTATTGAGTTAACACGAGAACGGATTCACCTGATGAGCCATTGTGGAGCAACTCCAGGAGTTACCCGATTTTAGCACTGAAATGTAAACCATGACGGTGCTAGAGTCGGGCAACTCCAGGATTTACCCGATTTCAGCACCGAAATGTACGCGTGTAGTGGGAGATGTCCGAGTGAGGTTATTAGCGGCAAGCCTTCCCGCGTCTTCCATTGTGTGTGGCGTGATTAGTATGATCATTTGTTTCCTGCAATACAATGTAATGTCGTCGGAAAGTGAAAGTGAGCCCTCTCAAGATTCGGAGAGTGAATATGCTTCAAAAACATAGCTGTTGATGAAGAGGACCCAAATTCTGGTAATGTTCACGAAGATCAAGACGCAGGAAACGTCAGCGATTCTTCCTATGTTCAAAATAATATTTGTTTATACAATCTTTTTTGTTATATATTCCATTCCCGATAAAATAGCAAAATTATTACACGAGTTCGACTATATTTTCAAAATTTTGTCTTTTTGGGGCAAGAAACAGGCAACTCAAATTTTTCAAACTCCTTCTTCAGCTTCTTCAATGTAAAGCTCATCTAATGTAACTCTATAGGATTCATACTATTTAGCATAATTTTTTTCAAGTTTCTCGAAAATATTAAGTTTTTTCCCATTCCCCAACATTTTAAAGAATCAATGCGACATAAAAATAACAATAAAACAAATTATGAATGAGATTGTAACTTTTTCTTGTAGATTATTGTGAATATTTTATTCAAATCTTCACATATAAAATCCAAATTGATTCATGATATCGATGAAATAAATTGAGATATTGACATTCTCAATTATTTTCAGGGACATCGCATTAGCCAAACGAAATAATATAGATATTTCAGGTCGAGAAAATTCCACGGCTTGGAACTATAGTATACCAAAACAACTGTTTTTCACAATATATGCATAATATATAGATCTCTCATTTGTTTTTCATAACTCCTAATTTACAATTGCAGCTGTAAATTAGACATGCAGATAAAACATTTTCAGTTTCTACTGTTGCAACTGAAAATTAGGCGCGAAGATTTGTGAAATGGAAAGCTGTTTTAGTATGTAAGTTCAGAGCCGTCAAAAGAAGAAGACGTTCTGAGATTATACACTCACCCCCGAATTTAAAGAGTTATAAATCTTTGGTTGAAACAAATATCATTTTCGAATTACAAATGTTCAGCTCCTTATTTTATTTGAAATTTCGAACTCAGGGTTCTTCTGATCAAACAGTTGGATATTATTTTTCAGTTTCAATTTTTTTCTTATGATTGGGTAATTATTCGAGGGTTGTTTATTGATGTTCGGAAATTCAGACAAAGTTTCAGTTATTATTACAATTATAGCCTACATAAGTGCAATTCATCTTATTGAAATCATTTCCCTTTGAGTACATATTCCAAAAAACTCTCAACCTCCTTATCCAATGAATTTCAGGGGTTTCTATAGTTGAAACCATTGCTCATGAGTAGAAAAAAATATCATCTGCAGTTGAAATCAATGAGATCCTTTATATGTTTCCATTTTTAAAACCGAGGAAATCATCAAAAGTGTTGACATGAATAAAGACATATATAACTTCAAATATCCATATCAAATTTCAAAATATAATCTCTCTGAGCATACTACATTGAAGTATGAGGGTATACTCCCAATATATCGAGGATTCAAACTCATAAATGAAATCGCCTATTTGAAAATCAAACAATTGATATTTTGAATTCGTTTTTTGCTTCCTCTGTAGAATTTACTTTTTGCATTCGCGTCATTATCATTCTGGAGCAACGATATAACTGTACCAAATTTCATAAAAATCCGTTTTCGAATGCAGCAGTTACAGGGGTGATTCGATGCCCAGTATCACCCGGTATAGTTCAAGTCTTCCCATTCCAAAAATATGGGTATGACTCATTTCTGAAAAAAATCTAGTTAGGCCCTTTTGTAATAACAGCAACGATATAGAAGGTGAATTTCCTCTTGTTTGAAACAGAAATCCATCCATGGCTGATGATATCCAACAATAAGCCTGCCAGCTTATACTTTTCAAATCAATCCGTTTTAATCTCTACCGGAAGTTGAGTTAGAATATAAGTATTCCAAGCATCCTGGGGGTGCTCTCGAGAATTTATCAGTATCTTCCCAGTATACACCCCATAAAATCTACTTAGCGGCAGATTAGCTGCAGACTCTAGGGGGTAAAAATAAAGGATTACTCGCGATACCAATATGACGTGTTTATAATGCCTCTTCTCGCTATCGTAATAAACAGCATATACAGGGTCACTATGAATCGAATCGAACCGTTGATATATTCTATCGTTTTGCCGCTTTCCACCTGTGGAGATCGAACTATTACACTTTTCGGGTGCTGCAATGCCTGTTAACAACATGAAGAGAGAGCGGCACTAATTCAATGACCACTAATGATGATATACGATTATATTTTATACACGAAACAGAAAAGGATCATTGGATTCAGCGACGTCAAAGATTACGCG